GTTTGTAAGGGCATTTGGTGTACATAAATTGACATCCTTTGTGGCTATCGTTAAGTTAAACCTTAAAAATGTATTCAAGTACCTTAAATATTAACAAACATTTAGCCTATCTGTGTCTCACTCGGCTTTAGATCCTTAAATCATCTCTGAATTAGTGCTTACAGTGTCCTTCCTTCTGGAGGGTGGCTACTTTTGTGCTACATGGTCCCTGTGTGCTGTGGTAAAGTAGCCACCACTCCAAGCTCACTCCCGTGATGCAGTCTGTCCCGGGAGTGAGCGTGGAGCGTTGGCTACTTTACCACTGTGATGGAAGCCTCTGTTACTCTGCTATTTGGAGGGGACTGCAGGCCTGCCTCCTTTCCACCGACTATGGGCCTTGGCTCTGGAGGGAGTTATATTGATTGGGAGAGGGGCTTGTTATGGTGCTTTGGGCTGTGTGGGACCCTTTGTTTGTGCTCCGTGGATCAAGAGGACCTATTTCCCAATTATGTGGGTATACATGAGGAGCTGAGATTGTGTTTTCCTATACCCCAGTATCCTGACCTGGACCAGACTCTGGACTTAGACATGACTAACAGACTAACAAGTTAAATGGAAGTCTATTTGTCCATTTGTCTCATTCTGCTATCAATGGGATTGACTCTGACATTAGATGTAGTGGAGTACATTACCATATCATAGACACTTAGGATATAATCTCATCATATGTATCTCCTCTCTCCCTATTCTTTCATTAAGACACTGGGGAGGGGATGTCTGTTTGCAGTCTGTTAATGTGTTATTGTATTATGTTTTTAGACTTCCAGAACTGTATAAATACTGTGCTGGTTTTCAATAAAGGGAGTTCTTGGTTTTTACCCTAAGAGACTAGTCCTGCCTGGTTTTTAGGGGAAGGTAGGGGCTGTAATTCTGATTTTCCAGTTCCAGAGTGGAGGAAGCTGATTTCTGATGGAGATACCCAGTCGGGGTACCAGGCGGTCCGTCACAACCACAACACACACAGGGACCATGGGGAACAAAATTAGCCACCCTCTAGAAGGAAGGAGAGTGTCAGCACCAATTGAGAGATGATTTGAGGATCTACAGCTGAGTGATACACAAATAAGCTACATTTTTGTTAACAGTTAAGGTACTTGAATGCATTTTAAGGTTTAACGACTGAGTTTAATGTCACTTTAGTTTAAATAAGCTAAATGCATTCCAGGTGCATCAAAACAATAGGTGTTTAATGTCTTACAGTTTGTTTTCTTTCTAAAGCAAACAAAGCCTGAGTAGAAAAGCCTGTCCTTTTCCAGCAGGTGCAGATGAGGCTCCTTGCTCTCTATTAGGAAGCAGTGGTCTCTTTCCAGACATGCTCCCCTGCTTAGTCAGTAGAGATGAGCAAACTAGCCTGGGTTACATTCACTAGGATGTTTGTCGAACCTAGCCAGAACTTCAGCTGAACCCAGCCATATCCAGCCACAACCCAATGGCAAACATCCAAAGGAGCTGAGCCCAGGGCTTTCTGTGTCCTAATAAGCAGTGCCAGTGGTTGTTTAGATGCTAGTGGCTGGACTGCGCAGTGCATTGGTTGCTAAGACATAGATGGGCTCACCATAATAACCAGTAGTATTGTTGTAGAGATCACTGTTTCCCCACAGAGAGCAATGGTCTCACTGCAGCATGCTTGTAGTGGCTTTTCTACTCAGGCTCCGAGAGTCAGCATTTACAATTTTTAAACAAATTATTATTGAATGAATGCATCCTAAAATGCATGAACACATACCTCATTTTATTTGGCCTTTTTGGATATTGTCAACTATTGAGCTGATTTTTTGCTTTTTCAGAAGAAGCGTTTTTTTTTTTTTTCTAAATTATAACCTTTGGCCTTGGCCCTTGCTATCCTGCCTCTCTTGCTGTAAAAAGTAAACATTTAAAATGGACTGGAGAACAGGAGGCAGAGATGAGAAACCAGCTTTTGCATTGTTTATCTCTCATTTAATGGAAATCAGCCTCCAAGGTCTACCACAACGGTTGTCTCCTACAAACCTTACCATATCATTCCATACCATACCAATCAAGGATATTTAAATATGTCCATGGAAGACAATAAACTAAAACAAAAATCTTTATTTGTGGACAATGCATGCAAATCTCTGATTAAAAAAAAATGTTTGCTTCTTTTCTTTTTTCTTATAGACGGCAGTTATGAACAGCCCAGAAGGCCCATTATGAGTGCAAAAAACATTACTAGTAAAGAGTGACCAGGCAATTAAGCAACTTTATGTGATGACAGAATTCATGACATCTAGCTCAGAGGATATTGGAACTGCAAGCCAACATTAATATGCATGCCTTATTTTATTTATCTTAGCCTGTAAATATCTTCAAAAAAGGGTAACACACGCCAAATATGTGGACTATACTTCTGAGTGAGCTGGGTATAGTAGACATAAAAGGAACATAATCCACATAACAGACATTCGGGGATGTTGTCTACAAAGAGTCGTTAACAGGAGTCAAGGATGATAAGAGATCCATAGACATAAAATGGTGTGTGGAAGCTCTAAAGTCATGAACAATTGAAACAGTCAAGAATGCATGTTTACAACCTGTGAAGACACCACTGGGGACATCCATTCCAGATGACCGATTCTTCCCCTGAGATCAGTTGACATGGTGGTTTCTGCAGGATAGATTGATTTGACCATTGTCTGCAGGACTGGGAAATTAACATTTTATATCTGTGGGTACTTTCAAAATAAACCTGTGCTAACATTAAATTTATGAAACTGCAAATTTGTCAACACGGGAAGCACTTACAGATGTCTGTGGGGTACCTTCATCATGTCCCAAAAACCCCAAAAGCAGGTGCCTGCTGTAGAGACATATTAGCAACTCAGTATGCTTAATGTCAGGAGAGGATTACTTTAAACTGACTTAACCTCCTGTGCCTTGGTCTTTCAATTCAGTTATCAATAGGATTTAATTCATAGTTAACACATAACAACAGGAGGACCTAGAGGTGGAAATGTTTATCATTGCTTCATCACCAGATTCCAGGACTGCGGTCATGAAGGTAGGTCACACCCCTGCTTCGTCTGACTCCTTTATCCTCCGCATACATTTTACCTGTAAAAATCACCTGGGCGTTATTTACCTCTTGGATCCTGGCACAGTAACATTTCATGCACATTGATGTGTCTAAACAGAACTTTCAACGAGAATGAAACTTGCATAAAACTGAACAAAGTCTGGTGATACAACAGACACTGGAAAATATCGTTATAACTAGTGAATGCCTCTGAGCTGCTGCCTTATACCTACCCAGATATTCATGTCATCTGTTTGATTTATAAAGCTTCTGCGATTCTTTGTTACCAACATGTCACTGATGTGCCTCTTTGGCTGGGCCTTTATTTGTCCTTGTTTCTTCCTGGGTACAAGTTTGGGCTGACTTTCATGCAAAGCTGAAGAATGAAGTGAACTCAAATGCTATTCACTGGAATACTGAATCTCCAGGTCACATGTTTACCACTTTGAGCGATACAAGATCATTGAACTTGTATAAAGAAACTTTTTAATTAGTAAATCATCTTTACTTATTTGGAATAATCTCTCTTAAGCAATAATAATTTTATAACTGAGATTAAAGCGATCCTTTTGCAAAATTAAAAAGTAGAAAAAAATGTACTATAATATTATACTATAATAGTGACATATATCTACCTGTCCTGCCACTGCTGCTGTTGTTTTTTGCTCTCTTTAAGAGCTTTTGTGTTTAGAGAATGTCAAACATTGTGGTTTCTTCAGTCCTTACATAATGGCAGGACACGGTAGTGACATAAGGGCCAAGGGAAAGAACAACAGCACTCAGAGAGAACCAAGAATTCAACACTCCCAAGTGTGGGTTGATGAAGTGTATTCTTTGTTCACTGTAGTTCCTGAAATGCATGTCAGCGACATGATTGATTGGTGAGACCGTTAAGTATAACACCCCTTCTTTGCAGGGGTATATTTTTTCTACTTTTCAGTATTGTGACAGCATCACTTTAAGAAGAAAAATTTTGAACTGCTCTGTAAACAATCTTCTGTTGTAGGCTTGAATTTTATTAAACCAAAAATTTGAATTCCAGTAATGAGTGCTTGTAAGTCGACAAGGGACCTGCCAGAATTAGAAAAGTTTTTTTCCTCTACTCCAGACATATGGAGCATTTAACCCTTCAGTTGAGCTTTAACATAGAACAGACCCTTAGGGCCTGTGTCAGCGGTTTTTAGGCTTGTGTCGATGGCATCATGTTGAGACACTTCTGAGATCATTTAGAATTCCTTAACAGGTGCATTAGATTTGCAGTTGGCTTCATTTTGACCAACATTTGACCTGCTTCAAGTAGGTTTTACATTCCCATAGACTTGTATGGGAACGCAAAACCAACTTGAAGTGAACAAAAGCCTGAACACAGGCCCTTAGTATAACACAGTGACGTTGGTGTTAGACACTAACTTCCCAAAATTGGAAGAAAAAAATAATTGGAATCTTATTATTTCTACCTTTGTTTCCTTGTATAAGAGGGGTTCTATACTCCCCGAAACAATAAGACTTTTCTATGCCACTGAAAAAGTCCAGTATGTGTAACTCCAATGGTGGATAGCGGAAGAGTGGCATTAATCCATTATATTTGTTTAATAATAACTTATTAAATGTCCATGTTAGGAGTAATTCAACATGCACCTGTTATGGACTCTCTCTTCTTCACTGGACACATAAATATACAGCATGATAAATATATGAAGTAAAAGCTCTAATTTATGAAGTAAGTCCACCTTTAACATCCATAAGGTGTTGTGCAATACATAACAAACACTGTGTATAGAATACAAATGTGTTCTTGGATTCCCTGAGCAGGTCTGACTCCTTTTAAAATGTTATCTCCATATGTATATTGTTAGGGCAGTTTATATTAGCAAGCATAATGTATTTGATGATCATAAATATTACAAATACCTCTGAGAAAAAATGAAATGTATGCTTAATGGTTTTTATATGATTATTTTGCATAGTCTAACATGATATGAATCTTGGGTGGATTATTGCAAACAATACATAAATGCAAGATACCTTGATTAACATAGCATCAGATGTATGTCCTTTTAGCCAAGCATACCATTCATTCCTATAATGTATTTCTATCCCTGTATATGTTTGAATGTAAATTGAGCTTTCATGCCTAAACTGGCAGCATGTTGACTTGGTTCGCAAAGGAATATTCAAATATCCCAAAATGCACTGATAAAATATATATTTTATATATACATTAATTGAAAATCACAGTCTTGTTATGGAATCTTCTTCTTCTGCAGGCGCTTCTGCTTGTGCGCTACTTGTATCCAAATGATCATCTTTGTCCATAGTGGGTTTAATGTTGTCTGTTTGACTGTCATTTACAAAACTGTGACAACTGTCAGAAGGCTGTAGTGGTAGACATTCCAAGGTATCCTGGGTATCTTCTGTTACTGTACACTGTTCATCCAAAGTATTTACATTTAACTCACTGTTTGGCTCTACATCTTTGACTGTGTCAAATGTTTTTTCACTGGGATCGGATATGAGTTGTTCTGGAACTTCCTCTGAAACAGAGTAAATTTTACTAGTGCTCTGTTCCGTGCTGTTAGGTTTTGGACGTCTGTGAAAAAGTCCAAAGCTTTTTATGTCTTTGGCAAACTGAATTTTCTTTGGCTTCTCCTTGGCAGTCTCTGAAGCCAGGGTCGCAGATCCATTACTCAAGTTATGCTTATCAGCAGTTATCTCTGCTGACCTGGGATGGATCAGTGTGGTGATGTCATAAAAGCTAAAGTTGCTTTTTTGCGTTCGGCTTTTCTTTTCCTTGGGGCGACTCTTCTCTTCTGTCTCTGAGACATCTGAGCTGTTGCTCATTTTTGTACTATTGATATTCAATTTGTTTCCCTTTAACAAACCCAAAACCTCAAAACGGAAGCTTGAAATGTCTTGTTTCAATTCCTTTAATAAAACAAAGTTGGCAGTAATAAGGGAACAAAAAATAATGAAAGAAAAAATAAGCAAAAAAACAATAGCAAAATATAAAGGCATTAGCATGTTCAACTTGTGCTGCTACGTGCTGCTACTTACTTTTACTGGAACACATTTTTCTTTTTCAGGTGTCGCCATCTTTGAATGTCCTGAAGAGATTACATTCTCATTTAGCAGCAGTGACATACAGGTGTCACAGCCAGCTTCTGTTTGTAGATGTGAGCAGCAGGTATCCCTCGAGAATGAATGTCTAACGCTTTATTCTCTGCTAATTATGTACAGCAGGATAGTTTTTGCACTCTTTTATTTTTTATGTGACAGGCAGACTTTTTTTAACACAACAATCAATCACATTGGGCTGGCATTCACAACAATGAATCAATATATAGTATATGCCCCTGTTTAGCATCAAAAGGTTCTATGGTGCAGAACGGTGTTCATTCTGGAGAGATGCTCGGTAATCACTCTTACAAACAGAAGATGACTCATAAGGATTGTAGTAACAGGATCTCCTGAAAAATTCTCCCTTGTCTGGGAGCTGTTCAATGATATTCACCACCTACAACCAGCTTGTGTCTTTTGGGAGTACTATATACATGATATAAGACTGATATGTCACATAGGCACAGGAGGACTGACCTGGAAGGCAATACTAAAAAGATATGTTGGATTGGTGCTCTTGAGGGAACACAGTTAGTGAAACATATTGGACATTATATAGCTACCATGACTCTGAGTTGTCAAGTGACCAAATAACAGAGTCACAAAAGTGACTGATTCTGGAAGATTTAAAAAGAAGTGTCACAATAAACCATGTCCTTTAGGAACACCAATCTTTCACCATACCCAGCAATCAACACTGAAGACTTGCAAGGTACACTTTCTTTAGCCTTCAGAAATATGTTCCTACCATGAATTGGCAAGTTGGTTGCCTTTGAGGCCAAAGTTTCTCAGTAATCCCCTGACTAGCAGAAATTAGGGTACAAGCCAGATGTCCTGAAGTCAATCAGATTGAGACTTACAGCCATTTTTACTGGTTATCAGTTTCACACAGATGAGTATTATTGACGCACATCAATAGTTTTGCTCACTAAATACTTTTCTTGTGGTAGTTGTTATGAATGCCTCTGATTGGTAAAATGCCTATTAGTATTGATAATGTGAAAATATAATCACTTTTAAGGACTTTCCATAATTCACTCATTATGAACTGCTTTCACAGACAGTTGCAGTCAGTTCTACGATATTCTGATTTTCTTTTTTATGTTACACCTGAGAACGTCTACATTTACTGTGACTAATTAGTTTTCTCTGCTCACCAATGCATCCATAAAATTACAAAGACTCTTACCTTGAAGTTTTCCTCTGTTAGTCCTTCTTCTTTCTTGGCATCTCTGATCATTGCTGCTACATATCTCTTCACAAGGTTCCTCATCACCTCCTGGCATGATAACAAACGAATTATCCCAGTTACAGCATTAGTGTGTGAATAAAATATAGGATCCAATACATGAATATGTTTTTAATACCATGCTACTCAATGCTGATATTTCAGATCTGATTACACAGTGTTGGTTTAAATCAATGCTTTTTATTTTTCTGTAAGACTCCAGTGGTAAATTTGTTGTGCCATTACCTCTGCATTTTCTCACTTCCAGTAAGCCATTGCGGAAGTGATAATCTTTTGTAGCTGGGGTCCTTTCTTACTTTTTTACTTACTAGATTTTCACAAATAATGCTAGCACCTCTTTTTTTTAGAGTTCCCTCATTAAAAAATGTTCAGTAAAAGACAAAAACTATTTTAATAAAATACTTACCCTAAACCAGGCATGCTTGCCTAGGCAAGGGTGATGTTACTGGGCTTTTTTTGTTGGACAGTGGGAAAGCTGAAGATTCCAAGCCCTACAAAATGCATTGCTTTTAATATTTGGGATCCCCAGCTTTCCCCGTATCCTGTGCCGAGGCCCAGCACCTACAGGAAATGGCCAGAAACCAAGGTGTAAGGTGAGTATTTTTTATACTTTTCTTTCAAGGTTTTTTTTGCCAAACCCTCCTGTAATGACCAAATTCCATGTTGTTCTGACAGGCAAAGCATTCTCAGGTCTTAATAGTGGCAATGCTTTCCCACCCATTCCTGTCTCTTGCACATTCTCATTGACTGGTCAAGGCTTCTATCAATATCATCAGTATTTTTTTGCTTCAAGCAGGTTTTGCATTCCTATACAAGTCTATGAGAATGAGAAACCTGCTTAAAGCAGGTCAAATACATGTCAGAAGGAGATTAACTGCCTTTCAAATTGCTTAAGCTGATGTCAAACTGATGCCATTGACCAAAACCTAAAGCACATTGTACCCAACATAGTGAAAGCTCTTGAAAGCTCCTAAACTGCCCCAAAGTTTGAAAGCTTTGCTTGTCAGATCCCTGGATTTGGCCTTGAAAGGGAGGTTAAGGAGACTGCTGAAAGTATGTAGAAAACCTTTAGATGCCTGCTTTTTATTCCTATAGCTGTTTTCTGATTTTTGCTCCACAATCTACATTGATTAATTTCTATTGGAATCGATAGAATAGATACAGCTGTTTCAAAACTGCTAAATAACGACCACTGAGTTCAGATTTTTAAAACATACAATTATACATAAGGGTAACATACCTGATACTGATTATGTCTTCGGAAATTGTCAGCTGCTCTTCTCTAGAAAGGAACAGACAAAAACTGTATTGTAAATAGCAAGAGATCCTGTTATAATGTTCAAAGCGTGTACTATGTTCATTTGTATAGACAAGACATTATAGACATCGCTACAGTTGCACCTACCAACAAGAGATTAATCTGGCATGCAAACAGGAAGCCGTTCTCAACAGCAACACACAATGCCAAAATGCCAATCTCCCAAACCTGGAATTTGCTGGATGGACTGGTATGTCAGATAATTGTTGAGGGCTAGTAGAAAATATCTGCAAGATGCTTATTCTCAACTGAGAAATATATATACAGGCTGCCATTGCTGACTGTCTTCTAAAAAATACTAGCTGCCTGGTTGTGTTGAATACTTTTTAAGTCACTAGTGGATATAAAATACATAAATTGATGAAGCTCTTTTTCCATTAATACATCAATAATTGTGTTTTTATAAATGCAAGCAGTGGTAGATTTGCTAATGAAAAGTCTCATCAGAACATTCGATAATGGTATCAGAGAATTGAAAAATGTCATTCAAAATGTAATTTGATTTTTAACATTAAATTTTGAAATGAACGGAGTTTCTTGCATTAAAACCACATATACTGATAGAGCTATGTTTGAGAAATGTATTTTCATCCTGTTTCTTTTACTTTTTTGCCACTACTGTACAGTCAAAATCGATTGTCGATTTAACAATCGGCTAGCTTCGGCCCCAGGACCCCATCGGTTCAGTAGAACCAAAGGGCTGCTGTACGGGCTATTCCCTATAGCCCGTACAGCTCCCGAAGTTGGCCAAGTGGCTCAGTCGAGCCGAAGGTATATGCCTCAGCTCGACTGAGCCGCGCTGAAAGCCGAAGCTGGCTGAATGGCCGGCCACTGGCCGGCCGACAGCCTGCTTTGACAGCTGGGTGGAGCCAGTCGTCATCTCACGGCTGGCTCCGGCCACTTGCAGAGAGATCATTGTCTCTGGTTACCAGCTAACCGGGGACACTGATCTCCAGACAGCCCAACTCTCCCGGGCGCTCCGGAGTCTCCCGCTCCCGGCCGCCCAGGAGAGAAACACCTTTTCCAAGAAAGGTTCACTCTGCTCGATCGAGATCTAAACAATTTATTGAATTTATATCGAATCTGGTTGGCTCTTGCACTACATAGTTGATGTTGGATCTAAATGAGATTATACAATCATATTGTATAATGTATGGTCACCGTATGGCAACAGCATTACTTGGGTGCTCATGCTAAATCTGAATGTAATGTTTTTTATATTATAACACACTAATGTTTCTAATCTGCACACATTTTCCAAATATATTTAACTGCTGCTAATCAGTTGTAGATACTATGCAATACTATAAACACATATAATGGCAGTGCATTTGCCAATAAAATGGGTCAGTTCAAATGCAATCCTCACCAGGATATCAGCTTTTGTTTATTTAATTCTGTTACATAAATTAAATCATACTATTATGTATATTGAATTGCATTTCACTGAAAGGAACTATTTTCGCTTTTGACATTTTACAGATACTAATGGCAAAGATAAACAACTTCCTGATGTATAATCAGAAAACATAACTGGGGTTTAGTTTGTCCCCCAGACCAAGTTTTTTCACAGATGGGTGCCATCAGTACAGATTGCACCAATTCTACCAATATATTAACAGTAAAAAGGTAAGAAAGGAGCAGATAGGCCCAATAAAGGACGAAAACGGAAAGTTACTCACAAGTGACAAGGAGAGGGGCGAGGCGCTGAACAATTTTTTCTCCTCAGTATACACTCAGGAGGGAAACGGGTTCGACGTACGTGATAAAACACATAGTTCAACCGATAATATACCACAATGGTTGACGGAAAGCGGAATAGAACATAGACTTAAAATGCTCAATGCAAATAAAGCAGTTGGACCAGATAACCTTCACCCCAAGGTACTTAAGGAATTAAGCCAGGTTATAACAAGACCATTATTCCTAATTTATAAAAAAAGTGCACTTTAAATTGAACCTGTGGGCTGCTGACTCTAGTCGTGGGGTGACGCATCCCTAGATGTCTAAAGAGTGTTGTTAGAGAGTTCCAGACTCTTCTAGTTACAGACTCTGTGTTTTTTCCATATACTACAAAGTTTCTTCAAAAATGATGTAATTCTGTATGAAATGCTATATTCGCACTGATTGGCACAATGGTCCTGATGTAGATTTCCAACCAATTTATTTAATAAAACAACTCCGGGGCCTAATCACATCATGGATAAAGATATTTTCTTTTATTAGATTATGTATAGTTAAGACATTTCCATGCATCATACATGCTAAATGCTGTTCTACAGTAAATGTATTATCCACATCTGGATGTAAATGCTCCGTCTCTAATTACCAATCTTTAACAAATCACAGGAGTGTTAAAGTACTAGAATTCAATATATTAGAGACACCTGATCCCTCCTTTCCCAAATAGAAGACATACCTTACCTGGGATTGTACTACTTTGCAATTCAGAATGAGGCTCAAAAATATATCTACCTATACAATAGATATGTCATATTTTCCATCAAAAGCTACAAATGCATATCATATAACAGACTGATGGATTTAACATGCATAACTGTATCAGATCTTTAGGTAAATACAAATCAAAATATTTAACATATGAACATGCCACACTAACCAATAATCAATGGATGTTTTCTGCTCTCTATCATTCTTCAGACAAAGGACATCAGATGTAACCTACATTACTCTGTACAGACTAAAAGAACTTGAAATGAGATACTGTTGATACTAGTGAAACTGTCATTAATGTACAAAATTGCAGTAGGTGCAGCCATAAAAAAAAAAGTCAGGAGGCAGCTTAACTTGGACCAGATTCTATTGGAAACATATCTTCTCTCTCAGAAGGTAGACATGCTAATGGTGAAAAGTCCAGAAAGCAAACTCAGCTGCACATTGATGGGCCCACGCACATTAAAATCAACTTTATTCAGTCTCCACATGTGCCTTACATTCCCACCCACAGTCTGCCCCTCACCCACAACTTTCACCCTTATGGGCTTTTAACTCCCTATAACTAAGCCCAAAAGGGTGAAATGCTTTAGAGAGGAGCAGACAATGGTTAGGGCTGTGCAGAACATGAAGAGCCTGAATAAAGTGGATTTTACCACAAGGCTGAATTTGATTTCTGAACTATTGTACTGCAAGGGGGAGTACACACTACACAGAAAGCCACCTGATGTTCCCTGCACCGTGACCAACAGACATCATGATGGAGCGATATATCTGTGGACATTTGACTGCAATACTAAAAGCAGAGACACAGAGGGAGATATTTATCTGCCTTATTGCAAAACAAGGCAGTACAAAACAAAAGCAGTTTTTTACTGTCCTCACTGCGTTGCTCTTAAACAGGTCCCTGACCACTTCTTAGGTCACAAGTGCCATAAGAAGTCTGTTGCCTATTTTCACAAAACATGTGATAGCTTTTGACTTAAAACACATTCACCTAAGAGGAGGTTAGGGGGCATACATGATATTGGTGCCATGCTACTTTAAGCAGCAGAAGGGTGAAGTTATTTATCAAGCCATGATAGTATGAAAACATGTATCTAAAAAGGTTCTATGTCTTTGCTTTGTATTGTCTTGCCATATGGCAAAGTAAATAGTTCTCTCCCTTAGGCCTACAACCAACAAAAACTTTTTCTGACCATCATGATGAGTTCTTACAGAGTCCCCATGGTTGAAAAAACACTTTTATCAGCTCCCAGTGTACAGCCTGGAACAAGAGGCTGTCATCAATGCTGAGAAAGGTAATGGAAGACTTTAATGCCTTAAGAAACAGATGTTTGGCTCAGGAGGATTTGAATCTACAGACAATGGGTGTGTATTGGTTAAAGAAGAACAACATAAACACAAATGAGCATGTATTGTTTTAGTGGTAGTAGTAGTAGTAACTCACCCAGACTTTGTAAAGTCAAATACCCAACTATGGGCTGGAGTGCTTAAAGCTGAACTTCAGGAAAACACTCTTCACACTTACAGTGGGTCCTCCTTCAGACTGCAGTCTCATTTTGCCAGTGGGATAATAAATAAAGTGATAAACTTAATGTATACCCCAATCCCCCAGTGCTTTCCTCCACTGTCCTCCACTTCAGGGCTGTGGGTGAGCCATCAGCTTCCTCACATACAATGAGAATTGCAAGTCCTGCATTGTATGGGATGACAGCAGGGGTCTGTGTCTGGCCTGGCAACAAAGGCAAGAGGCTTTAAGAGACTGTTCACACCAAAGGAAGAAGCCTTAAAGAGTGAGGTATAAGGTAACCATATCACCTTGTTCATCATCCCCTAGACAAAACGAGAAGTTAACCCTTGCAGTGGGAAGTAGGACCCATGGCAGGGCTAACATATTTATTCCTGCTGTTCAGCTTTAATATTCAAAGACAGAATTGTATTTTGGGTCCACCCTTGGATCCACATAAGAAATGTCTATATGCTCAAAATATCTATTTTGGGCTAAAATATTTCTAAGAAATTGTACAGATGGATATTACCAAATCATTTAGCTGTCTTTCAAAAACAGTGTCAAAAATGTTTACATTGAAAATATGGTAGACAGAGTATGGAAGACAGAAAAGTACAAAATGTGTTTGGAATTGAAGGAAATTAAGAAATTATATTGACATGTGAAGCCTGGTTTTGGGGCATTATTAGACAGCATATTATTTTTTTTACTTCTAGCATTCATCCTACAGTTGCTGAGTAGCCATCAGTGAAAAATGAGAGTGAAGGTGGGAGGTCTGGTTGCTTTTCCTTTCTTGAACACTAAATACACTGCCTGGCCAAAAAGTCACCACCTAGATTTAGCTAAGCAAATAGGTCAGAGCCTTCCAATGGATAAGTGTTTAGATCTGGGGTTGCTTCAAGTACTCAGGTCTAGGTTCAGCAACCTTATGTCCCCATAAATTAGGTTAGCTGCCTACCTGAATATACTGAATGACCCTGATGGCACAGCATTTTCCTAGATGACAATGCCAGGATTCATCAGGCTCAAATTGTGAAAGAGTGGTTCAGGGAGCATGCAACATCATTTTCACACCTGGACTTCCACCACAGAGTCCAAACCTTAACCCCATAGAAAACTTGCTCTGACAACTGCTATCTAAGATACGTAGCATTGGCAGTGACTGGAATGGTATTTCCTTACTCTTTGCATAGGCACAGAACATGCCATGCTGGGAGTTGATTCCTGTGCACACCAGTAGACCACTGCCTGAGAGGATTATGCATCGACAATAAATCCCATGCTTAAATATTTAGGCATCTTCACATTTCAACAAGTGTTGTAGTGTTGATGTTACAAGAATATATTTTTCAAGCCATTTTTTGTCATTCAAATCTTTAATGTTACATTTGCAATACTGAATATATATATAGTCTAATTTTACTGCATGGGGGTCGATACATTTGAAGGACATGATGGTTTTTGTGTGATTTGTGGAATTTAGATTTACATGTTTTACCAAGATACTTACACCTATTGTTCCAAAGCTTTCTGGCTTTTTTCTTGTGTATTTCTTGCATACTTGTTTCCTAATCCATTTAAAAAAATACCAAAAAGTTTTGGGACTAGGGATTATATTGAATGGAGTGGGAAGTGTTCCTCCTTCTTCAAAGTAACTCATCCACAACTTTGTTCTAGCAAACTTCCATTCAATGTCCGCATGATCCTAATTGGAATAAAAAATAAATAAAAATGAATGTTATAATAAAAACTTGAATGTCATTGAATTGAATTGACTTAATAGGACACAACTCACCTGTTAAGTGACCAAGTTTTGTTATTTTTATTGTTAGTTTATTTTGTTATCTATTTCTCATATAAGGCCCAGAATCTGAGCATGCATACTATGTATTATTTGGCTCAAATGTTGCCCTCTCTACTAAGAACTGTTTTTTTTTAATGGTTTTGAGTTCCACTCTCTGTGTTACACAGACTGGAGCAAAGTACGCGTGGGTAAACTGGCAAAAGTCATATGACAAAAGGTTGCTTTGGTATTCAGAAAATCATGAAACATGATTTTACCATTTAGATGACAGATTATATTTCCTAGATAGAGTAATATATCAACTTGATATTTTACAAAGCTTTAAAAGAAATAGTTATACAGATAAAAAATGTTTTGTATTGCTACTAATGAAATTGTATCTGAATCAGTTGCAGTTTAAAATAAAATATGGCTCCAGTCAGCAATGACCCCTATACTACCTAGGATAGGGGTCATCATACACCTATGGCACATTGCTTGTTAGTTATAAATTAGAATCACACAGTACTCATCCAGTCAAAAGTGGAAAACAATGCTGTGCAAGATTGTGAAGCCTGTTAGCCTTCCAGTGTATCACCTAGGGGTTGATTTTTAAATAAAGTGCAAGGCCGTTCACCCAACGAATATCTGTAAACATTTATCCTATGCAAATATATGCACAAATAAACGCCCTGTAGTTTTTGTTCTTTACAAGTGTAAATACATTTAAATGCTTTGATGCAATATCACATTATAGCCACTAGATGAAGCTGAGGAGCATTCACAGGGCGAACATTCACAGATATACGCAGGGTGAATGGCCCTGAAAACTGTTTATAAATCAACCACTTAAAGTATATATCTAGCCAAAACATTTTTAAAATTTAGATAAAGTATGGCACAGATGGCACCTGCCATTCCGTCTTTATTTTTCTTTCTGTGTCCAATTGGGTAGATTCCTACACTTTATGTCACAGACACACAACAACACGTGAGGGAAAATCTCCCCAAAGTCAGAAGAAATCCCCTCTTAGGCATTTGTCACCAGAAAAGATGTGCCCACATTTGTACCATTACCTCCTGTCATAGTGACAAACATAAAACTTCGGACTTCCCATCATCTTCTGTCATGGGTCAACAGGACAAATAGAAAGGTTAAGGCTCCCCCAGTGGGGACAATAATAACATCTTGATAGGGGTTCTAACCTTCCCTACTCTGAGCAAGACTAAAAATAATGTTTTAGCTGGAAACACATTTTATCAAGAACTGGCTCTTGTACTACTTCCCCCATTGTGATAATAAAGAATGCAATACATGTTGGGACTCCCAGCTGATTTGAGCTGAAAAATCAATTGGGCTTTAACCACTCCTGCCCGTTCGGCTATTCACTTCAGGCTGGTACGGCTGATTTCAGCCCTACATCAAGTGGCTTAGTGTGGCTTCGGATCGGCCAAACATGCCCAGCATGTTCGGCTGACCCGAAGTGCAGAAATAGTTCGACTCAGCTGATCCAACATCTGGATTGGCTAGGCCGAACCTCCGGCAGGCTACTCGCTGCAGTTCGGGCTATTCTTATAGATGCAGAACAGCAGTGAGTGAATAGCCGAATGCCGCTGAGCGACATTCGGCTCGGCTGTTCTGCTCGGTCTACTTTTTAAAATAGTTTAAAAAGTACAAAAAAATTAATAGTAAACGATTGTGTGGAGCTAGCAGTGACAGCTAGCTCCGCCCAACTGTTTTCTATTGGCCAGCGGTTCTGCTGCTGTGTTTGCTATTGGCTCTTGCAAATTGAAATAGCCAATAGGAACCTAGCAATGCATTCCTATGGTGAGCCAAAGGCTCCATGTCAGAATTTAAAAAAAAAAACCTTTCTGGGAGAAAGTGCGGGAGACTCCCAGAGCGCCCGGGAGAGTTTGTTTTCTGGAGATCAGTGTCCCTGGTTAGCTGGTAACCAGGGACGCTGATCTCTCTGCAAGTGGCCGGAGCCAGCCCTGACATGACGGCTGGCTCCGCCCAGCTGTCAGAAGCAGGCTGTCGGCCGACCAGCTTCAGCTTTCAGCGCGGCTCAGTCGAGCCGAGGCATATGCCTTCGGCTCAACTGAGCCGCTCCGCCAACTTTAGGAGCTGTACGGGCTATAGGGAATAGCCCGTACAGCAGCCCTTCGGTTCTACTGAACCGAAGGGGTCCTGGGGCAGAAGCTAGCCGCAAGATCAGCCGAAGCTACGGCTAGATCCTTCCACTTTTCCACTTTTTAGAAAAATGGACTTGGATTTCAATAAGTAGTAAAGATTCCTAGTTCACTAATATCTGGGTTTCAACATGTTGTGTATGTACCACATGCATCATCACATTAAATCTGGTATAGCAGACCTTAAAAAAAAAAAACCATAATGGTGCTCCTACCAATACAACAGAATAAACTGTTTTAGCTTTCCAAGGCAATTCAAAAAATAGGTGGAGGATCACTTGTTCAATCACAGTTGCTGCATGGAGGTTGATATCTGTATTAAGGGTCCAATTTGTCAACAACATGGGAAACTCCTAAGGAATCCTACTGATTTATCAACAGATAAATACAACAGATATGCCATGGACACATATTTGACAAAATTATGGAATTAGTTAACAACAATCCATCCCGCTAGGCACCTCTGGGGTATGGCAATTGGCAACAAGGCACCAGTAACTTACATACTGTCTTATACCAGCACAGAACTTAGATTATACTAATATTTCCCAATTTGCTTCTGTATTATATCCTCCAATGCATTCATCAAAACTCACATATCAGCAGTGTGACAACAGAGCAGTCCATTAGAACTATGCTTCCCTTTTCTCAAGTAGGTGCTGCAAACTCTTTTGCAACTCCTTTTAGAGAAAGGATCAGTTACTTTATTTCTCCTGACTTGATCAGTTTTATGATGGGGTTGATTTAATTAAGTAGTGTACACTGTTTACTTAGAAAAGTTTATTTTCATTTTTGTAAAGAAATATTCACTTAGCTTAGTGAATGGGATAAAGCTTTGTGATGTCAATCACACAATCATGTGCAAGAAAATATCTTGCTTTTTTTTCCTTAATCTTCCTTGCATGTGACTGGTGATTCTTTGTAAACTTAATTTTCACCACATTCACTAAGCTGAAAATTTTAAAGGAAGATTAAAATTCACTTTGAAATGTGAACATACTCTACCAACCCCAAAGTGTGTTTGTTATGGAAAGCATGCTTATATTAATGGTTCTTTGAAATATGAAGGTAAAACAAATGTGACTTACAGCAATGAGCTGGTAGGAGTTGTTCATCATGGCTATCAACATGTTTAGAAGAACAACCAAAGAGATGACATTATAGGTCCCAAACATGGTCGCACCGACAAATTCTGTGAACTTGTGATCCGGTTGCACCTTTGTTACATAGAGATTGATGAGACCAAAAATTGACCAGAACAGGGACTGAAGAGTCTCAAATAACCTATAAGGAAATAGAATACAATAAAGAGGTAATTGTGTGTACTGTAAATGTGTACCTATAGCAATAGAGTCCAACAATCATCAAGGAAATTATATGAACACTTTCTGTACCAGAAGAAGAGAGTGGATCTCCAAAAAGCTTTTCATGTGCTGTTACAAGTGAACTGATACAGGTAAAACTCTTTTTACTCACCTGGTCACTTTATTAAACACTTGGCAGTTGATATATCACAGTTTAGTAATTTATAGTAGTATCGAATACTAAGCACTTTGTTGATTGCTAAGCATAGAAAAGCTGTCCTGCCTTGCTAAAAATATTAGCTGGTTTCTGGGTCACAGACTTGCCTGTACTCTACTAAATCTATGAACCAACTTCATTTCAACTCCTTTTAGAGAAAGGATTGATTACTTCATTTCTTCTGACTCAGCTGATTTTAAGATGGGGTTAATGTCATTTTGCAAGGGAATATTCACTTAGCTTAGTGAATGGGGTAAGATCTGCTGTTTACATCCCCCTTGCTAAAGCACTGGAGGAAATAAACACCTGGAAGAGATAAAGAAATATATATTCACCCTTTCTCTGGCTTCTGTGGTGTGGGAGTGACATTATCCTGGGGATCCCAGGGAATGGTGAGCACTCCAAATCACATGAGAAAACACTGCAGCACAGTGCTAGAAGTTTCCCAGCTAAATTTGTTCTACTCATCATTGCCCAGATCTCCCCATAAGGGGAATAATATCACCTTCAACTGTGTGCTGCAGGTGGAAGCCAGTGAAAAAGGTGAGTATACCATCTGAATTTTTTACCCTATAGGTATTTTTGTAAATCTTTTTTCCAATGGTTCAGCAAGGGGAGGGTGGGCAAACACGAACAGTGGACCATAAATTTTAGGTGCAACATCAGCTTTAAGTATATCTAATGCCTAAACTTTTTTTAACTGGATTAATTTTAAGTAGAGTTTCCCTTTATTAACAAACATATTATGGACTGCCTATACAATATAAAGAAATAGCAACAGCTATCAACTTCTTGTTTTTTCATAAGTTTGAAATTTTATTTTCATTATATGGACACAGTCTATTAGTTTGAAACTGATTCCATGCTCAGTAAAGGTTTTGAATGCCAAAATGAGAAAGCATTCCACTAGAAACCATGTAATGGGCAGCAAAGCTAAAACAGATGGTATCACAAACTAAAAAAAAAAACTGGGGTAGTTCTAGTACTATTAAGGTTTGTTGTGGATACATTAAAAAAAACCTTTAAAGCAGAACTCCAGCTGACACTGTTTAAAATATTTATTTAAATAATTTTACAACAAAAAAACACTTTATTTTCTTCAAAAATAAAGTGTTTTGGATACATTTAGGTTAGCCAGGTTAGCCAGGTTAGCCATACATCTTAAAATTTCAGGTGGTGCTAAACAAGAGAAACCACTAATTTCCCCCATCCACACTATGCTGTGGACTATTGTATTCTCAAAGCGGACACCTGTGACTGTCTGAATACTCGAGCAGTCACTGTTACACCAACAATTGGTGGAATCGACAGGGCCAGGAAATGGACACACTGTGATCCGTGTATGGTAGTTTACAGGTTTTTTTTGCTGTCTGTCCCATTGCAAGTGCAAGTGCAAGTGCAAGTCCCGGCTAAATTAAAAAATACATATATATGCTGAACATCTCTGCAATACCTGCACATTACCCCATGCTTTCTCCCTTTAACGGCCCTGCAAGTGCAGATATATACTTGTTAATCTGATAGAAATGGTGATTTGGAGTTCGCCCCATCCAGTTGTCTGTTGTTACAGTACTAAACCCTGCCTATTCTTCTAATCCCCAAAGCATAGGCATTAATTGTTTTTCTCTTTTTTTATACTATTTTTATTTTTCGTTTTTATTTTGTGATTGTTGCTGAAAATGAATTTATCATATACAGCAGAAGTGGTAATAACATAATTTATCTTTGGAGTCAAACACTTGAGTTACACCACATTATTTATTATTTGATATGTATAACATAATAATAATAATAATAGAATTATTAATAATAATAATAATAATAACTTCTTTTTTTTGCTAATGTACTGTAAACTTTATTTTTTTAGCAGGGATTCACTGAGACCTGAAAACTATTTACAGCGTTTCTCTGGAGTAAAAAGGTTGAGAAAAGCTGCTATACACACTTTGGGGTTTTAGAATGTAAGACTTGGAAGAAAGGGTTCACTTTTGTTTAAAGTATAAAGCTTAGTTTACCTGAACAAATTGTAAGATGTGCACGTAAACGTAAAAACTTGCTGCACAAGCCTTTCTATCTAATGTTGAAAAAGAAAATCAATACAAACTTACGTTGAGAAGGCATTATTTTGTTTTTCACATCGAATGCCAGTGCAATTCAAGGTTTTGTTGTCAATGATGTCGGTTTCGTAGTTAAAGTACAATTGATTCAAACCATTGGCGAATGCAAGTAGCACAAGGCAGTATATAAAGAGAAACTTTAAAATGTCCAGCAGCATTCTTCCTAAAGAAATCTGAAGAGGACCCAGGTGAGAGTTAGCTGTGAACAATGAAATCAGACGCAAGGAGCTGAAGATGTTTGCGATAGCAAATAATGCTTCAGCAACCAGTGTTGGATGCCACATGTCCCAGTTATTTCGACTGATTAATTCCGAATGGTACTGCCAACAAGAGAAATAAAAAGAGAAAAATATTACTTAAGTGAAATTTGTAAAGTGTTATTTTTTTAATCCATACAATTGATACCTGGCTTAATATCAAATATGTTTTCACGTTTCCTACTGATTTATTCCATATCCCATTACCTGCTCGGACACTTGCTTCAGGTTTTTGAGTGGGTTTTTAAACAGACATATCATGGAGCACGGATTATCCCCCAACATTTACAATGTCTTCCAATATATTAAGCATGCTTAAAAAAACGTTCAGTTTGACAAATTGTCTATGCCTTCCCAGATATCTCATGGCACACCTTCTTTTCTTTTAAAAAGGTCTATTGCTGAGATTCTTTTCTTGCTAATGTCTAATGCTATAGTATTATTACCTAGATTGCGTGGCTAGAGGAAGAGGCTGTGTGTGCAGCACAGGATAGTAGTGTCACAAGCCATCCAATATAGGGCTTCTGACAAAGAAAACTATTTTGAGAATTTGTAATGTACCTTTACCCTAACCATAAATATTTGACCTTTAACAGTTTTCTTTTTTCTTTCTATTAATCTTTCATTTTTATTTCTTCCACTAAAGCTTGGCTCATCGGATGACTTTCAATAGATCGCAGCGAGGTAGCTGTTTTGCTACACACAAAACCGTGACCCAGAATCAGGTAGTCTATGAATGATTTAGCACCGAGTTACCAACGGACATGCGATGTGCTCTGGGAGAGAGGTGGCCCGATTTAGTCCGCGCTTCGGTCCCGAGGCGAGCAGAGCTAAGCGCTGGCCCCCGCCCCCGGTGTGGGGGTGGGCCTTTAACAGTTAACCTAGCCCTCATATGTAATCTAACTCTAACACGTAACCGGGCCACTGGAACTGAGCACATAACAGATTAACTAACCCTCTACCCCAAATATTAATACTATGCTAACCAAACCCCTAAACTAATCCTTAATCCATTCTGCCTAAAATGTCTCATATGCCAGTAGCCAGTGTCAAATCCTTACAGTGCCTATACTATAAAATACTAGTTTCAATCTTTCAGTGCTAAAATCCACTGATTTATTAAAACAGCAGTTGGTATATGTGTCACATGCCCATCAAACCTGTGCATTTTGCATTTATAAATTTGCAGTAATTAGTTTGTCAAGCACTGCATTATTACATGTTTATTATAGAATGCTTGTGCGTATGTTGTTTGTTTGAAACCATCACTGAAATTCAGATTACTGAAGCTTATCGGAATACAGGGCGTTGCCAAACCAACATCTCTCTGCTAGGATCACATGGTTTAAACAGAACATGTTCTCCTTTACTGGCCCTAACTTGGGATAAAATGTGGCAAGTGGAAAAACAAGCTTGCATGAAATAACTGTTGTGCTACTGATGATGGGAAAAAATGGTGGCTATAATATAGAAGATAAGCCTGATTGTTTTTACTGACTGTAGGCACAGACTTATTATGGGAAATCCAGTTCTGTCTGGAAGTTTTCATCATTAGCATTTCTTTATAGGCTTTTGGTATCCCTCCCTTTCCATTTGGCTTGAACTTTTTTTTTGGCAGAGGTTAGCAAAATAAAATATAAATAAATTCAGCCAATGTGGAAAGGAAAAATGAAGTAAGCTAAAGTGAAGGTATGTAAGGTTGATTTTTTTGTCAGAGTTTTCACAGCTGCTATCTAGGGATTAGTTAAATAAACCAGCACTTTTATATACAAGGCAAATGTGAGGAGCATGATTTTTTACACACAGCTGACTTTCTGTATACTCTCAGGCCTTACCCAGTCCTAAGTACCTGATATAAAACCTTAGTTTTCACTACACAATAAAGTGCATTTTAGAACTATTATGATTTCTTGCTGTGACAATTTGTATTTTGTAAATGATTGTCAGCTCCTTAGATACTTGTATCCCCATGAATATACAGCAATTTATTTTTACTGTACCCGTGAATATGCAACAATTTTCAGTGAAATAGTTGCCAGGTATAATGAATTCATCACAAAATCCATTAAGTTCCACCAGTCATGGACGTAATCTTGAAATCCTCCATCCCACATCTGCTTGATTTCAGCCCATATAATACCTATATTAATTAGAAATTAGATTATTAGAAAAACAGCAGTTTAGAATGTATATATTTAGAACTCTCAAATAGCACAATAGAAAGGCAGTAGTGACATTTTACTGACACAGTCCTTTGTTGGCCATGCAGAAATTCAGCCCTGGCATGAGGTAATGTACAATATGGAATAATGTGCACAATACTCTGTTTGTTTACAATGTGCAATAGTTGCAATTTTTACTTAGGAATATATATAGCTTTATTTAAAGAATATCTTTTTTTTTTATATTAGAGTCAACTTTTTTTTTGCCAGCTGTGAATATTTCACTTCCTGTCATATAGACTCAACAGGAACACTTTTCCAATGTGGGAGAAACCCCTGCTTAGATAGTTGTCATGGGCACAAGTGTCCCCACTGGGAGAAGTTTCCTTCTATTTCTGTTCTGGTGGCAATTTCAAATTTTGGATTTATCCTCTCTTTATCCTAAGACTCTCATTCCCAGTGACACTCATGATCAGGACAGTTAGAGAAAATTTATTTCCCTAACAGGGACACAATAAAAACCTAAAGGTTCTAACCCCTTACAACTCTATCTAAATCTTAAAAAAAGTTTTGCCTTTAGCTGTACTTTAATGTGTTAACATTTTAATCATAGCGCATTCACACCTTATTCGTGTTGTTTGTTTTAAATCTGGTTTTCAGCATTCTTATTTGTTTTTCAATGCTTGCAATGAATGATGCCCCCTGAGAGGTTCCAACACAGAGCACTTAATTTATATTATAATGATGAAAAGAACAATACTGAAGTCATCATGTCAGCGCTGCTCTCTGTATCATCCAGAATTGCAAACTGCTCAGGGGAAGAAGGAGACCCTGTATATCATGTGACCGGCCTGAAGACTTTGTAAAAAAGCAGATATAAGAGAAAGAAGAAAAAGCAAAATATACATCAGAGGGGCGCCTCCAGGGGGGATGGGGAGCACTGGGGGCAGAGGGTTGAGTCCAAACTCCTTGTTTGGGTTCTCAAATCCAAACACTGAGAAGCCTTTGTAACCAAGAAAGTAATCCAAACTTTTCTTTCCTGACTACTTATGGAACAAACTATGTTCAGGAAAAAAAATTAACATTTCACTAGATATTTAAATTGGTTGTAAAAAGGCTATACCTAATTTAGCACTCATATTTATAGCATTGTGGGAAAGGGAACACATTAGCTAAACAAAGTAAGATTTGTACTCCATGTCATGTTATAGCCATCCTATGGATCATTTCTACTAATTCAATGGACAACATGAAAGATAAAAGCAAGCAGAAAGGAGCAACACGAGATATTTAAAGCAAACTATAATAACTATAATAACTATCATATGTTGATAAAACTGGTTTACAAAAAAAGAGTTTTAAATACAATTTAAATCAAATATGTCACATGTTCACATAGGTAGAATACTGTACAATGTTAAACTCCCTTTTTATTTTTAAATTCACATTGCTCTTAAAATCAACTAGTTTCTATTATTTTAGTTTAACTCTCCATTGCTAAAACATAAAGCTGCATAGTGTCAAGTAGGGATATTGATGCTTTTTAGGGACTTCAGATCATTATATCAAAATCCCAGCAGTCAGGGACTGGCTCCACAGCGTCTTCCCCCCGCGGTACGCCACCTGAAGACCGGAGCCCTGTGAAATCCAGGCAGAGGCATGTTACAGGAATGGAGGCTCAAATAGAGGTGAGCCGGATTAATTAATCCCTATAGGACACTAGGGAACTGATAGAACCCTTGGAAGCTTTTCCCATCTCACATCAACCTATATCAGACTCTACTCTCAGGGACATGTTAATTTCATTAAGAAGCTCTCTAACTAATGATATGCAATCTTTTATTTCCCAATTTAAATCCGATCTACATCAACTGGGAGACCGGGTATCCCACATGGAAGACAAGATGGGTGAATTTGCTGGCACTTTCAATGATCTGGTAGATTCACACACTGCTAGAGAAGATGATCTGGACTGGTTGAAAGCCAAAATGGCGGACCTTGAGGACAGATCACGCCGCAACAATATCAAGTTACGAGGCATACCAGAACCGATCACTCAGGGTGACCTGCTTCCATATGTCCAGACCCTTTTCCAACAAGTGCTCCCAGAAGCATCCGCCACTGATCTTATTATTGAGCGCATTCACCGTCTTCCTAAGCCTTCATTTCTACCGGAAAAGGTACCCCACGATGTCTTAATGCGAATGCACTTCTTTCATGTGAAAGATAAGCTGCTCCAAGTCGGCCGGGACACTACCCATATCCCTAAACAATACGCCCACATACAAGTCTTTGCAGACCTGTCCCAGCATACTAAGCTCTTCAGGAGGCACCTTCTCCCTGTCACCAAGGCTTTGAGGATCCACCAAATCTGCTACAAATGGGGATACCCGGCCAAGCTGCTTATAACCAGAGATGGTGAAACTTTCACTGTAGTGTCCTCAGACCAGGGCTTGTCCCTTCTCAAAAAATTGAATATTTGTCCATCTGCCGAATCCACACTCAGACCGGCTGTATCTCCAAGCAGCAGCAGTGGTGTTCTCCACGACGCAACCGTACTTCCAGGTCTGAGGAGGGCAGTGCTGGATGACTCTCTGAAAGATCCACGTGAAACCCTATTGCCTCTTGGTGCCACATTGCTCACTTCTGTGATACCACCACCATGTTGTGCAGCTTGAGGTGCTGCAATGCGATCCCACTTTGGGATCATGTTTTTACTTGTTTACAGTTTAACCTTATTATTCCTTTTCTATGTTCACTTCTTTACCTGAGCCACCCAAGGAACCCTTACACCTGCCATCGACTGACACTTCACTTCTCAGAGAAGCCGCCTACCTCTCATCACCCACTGGGCCTTCCGGATCCAACCATCTGCATTCCACTTACTACCTCCAGCACTCTAAGTACGACGCATACACTCCGCGATATGTAACACTTCCAAGATGTCTGTTAAAATAATGTCGCTTAACACCAAAGGTCTTAATCACCCCGCCAAGAGAGGGAATCTCTGGCAGGAAGCACGCTCCCTACAAGCAGACGTCATATGCCTCCAAGAAACGCATTTTTCTCTCTGTAATGCTCCACATTGCTCCCACAAACATTTTCCGCACACATAGTTTGCTAATTCCGCTAACAAAACGAGAGGAGTAATGATCATGGTGAGAGACACAGTTACTTTCTCAGAGATTTCCTCTACAGCGACCCCACAGGCCAGTACCTCCTGCTGGTGTGTAATATTAACTCTTCAACCTATACTATTGTGTGTCTCTACACACCCAATACACACCAGATTAGTTTCCCACAAAACATTTTTAAAAAACTGTCCGAGCGTTACACGGTACTGTGGGATGACCTAAACATGGTTATGGATGCAACATTAGATTCCTTTAATCCATCCAAATGTCAATCACCTGATATGCAACACCTTATGTCTGGCGAGTCTCTCTTTGACGTGTGGCAATGTTTGCATACCTCAGAGAGAGACTATAGTTTTTTTCTCAACTCCACATAACTCTTATTCTAGGATTGATTTTGTTTTTGTGGACAGGGGTGTTGTTGTTGTTGTCACGGGTGCACGCCTCAGACATCTACGATATTACGTGGTCTAACCATGCACCTGTTTCAATATCTATTTCTGACCGTCCTGTTTACTCAGATGTATATATGCGGCGTAATAATGTTTCTCAGATGCTCCTTCCCGCTAACAAAAAACAGGTTGAGAAAGCTTTGAAGGAATTTTTTGATATTAATGCATCCTCTGTTGAAAATGTCTAGTCTTTGAAATGCCCATAAGGCATTTGTGGGGGGCTATTGATGCAAATTGGAGCACGAATAAAGAAGCAGAGGTCTCGCCAACTCGCACACCTGCTTTCTCGGATTCATACTCTCGACTCCCAAAAAAAATTGAATCTCACCACAGCTACATCCACTGCTTTGAGTAAACGTAGAACAGACCTCAGGCTGTTCCTTATGGAACAACACAACACCCAGCTCTTTAGATTTAAGGCTAACTTTTACTCTAACGGTAGCAGAGCAGGAAAATTGTTGGCAAATAGCCTCAAGCCCAACGAGGCCATGCCAAAATTCCATACATAATCCCTGCAAGCAATGAGGACAAAATATGGCATCCCCAAAGAAAAGCTGATGCGTTCAGCTGCTACTATGGTAGTTTTTATAACCTCAAAGATGACCAATCCCCCACCCTCAGATGAAGTAATTCTTAATTTTCTACTTAAAATCAACCTACCAATTCTATCTAGCGCCCAACTTCACCACCTTCATGCGACTATCACCCCACGAGAAATACAACATGCTATTAAATCCTTGCCCTCTAATAAAGCGCCCGGGCCAGATGGTTTCACTGGCGAGTACTACCAATGTTTTGCTCATGTTTTAGTACCTTATTTAACACAGGTGTACGACAAGGCCTCCACCTCTGCTTCTTTCCCCCCTGAAATGCTGGCAGCTACGATTATTACGATACCGTAGTCATGGAAAGACCCTACTTCTCCCCAAAACTTTTGCCCCATCTCGCTCCTCAATACTGATCTAAAACTCTATGCGAAGATATTAGCACTTAGACTGAATGAGGTTCTCCGCTCACTGGTTCACCAAGACCAATCTGGATTTTTTAAAGGAAGGGGAGCGCCTGATGCAACCCGACGTGTCTTAAATCTGATCCACCATGCCCATAGCTCCAAGACACCCTGTCTGCTCCTTGCTTTGGATGCAGAGAAAGCGTGGGTTAGGGTGCATTGGGGCTATATGCAACATGTTCTCTACAAGTTCGGCTTCTCGGGCTGGATAATATCCGCAATTATGGCACTGTATTCCACACCCTCCGCACAAGTCTTCATGTCCGATGCCCTATCTAAGCCCTTTCTTATCACCAATGGCACCAGGCAGGGATGCCCTCTCTTCCCTTTGCTCCTCTGCTAGGAGTTCACAATGGAACTCCTGGCAGAGACCATTAGGTCCC